TTGAAGTTCTGTAACTAAATTGCACCCATGGCACAAATTTTGTTACCCAGAATGCAATTTACTCAATCATAAAAAACAAATTTGACATAGCACTCGCTTCCATATAAACTACCATTTTCTTAGTGCCTTGCTCCTCTCACTTGCAGTGAGTTTACTCCAAGCTGCAAGAAGGAAAGGATTAGAACATACAAACAGGAAAGTTACAGATAAGAAACAACTACAATAAAAAAAACAAATACACATATGAATTACTCTTGCTTTGGTATAAGAGTATCCATAGAAGGAAATGGCAATTGCAAAGAACTGAATTTTTCATATGAATTACTCTTGCTTTGGTATAAGAGTATCCATAAAGGGAAATGGCAACTGCAAAGAACTGATTTCATGCAGACCTATTCTTTCATGGGAAAATGTGGGTATGAGTACTAAAAGGTACATAAAAACTACAACCTTCAGATAAGGCAAAACAGAAACAGAGAAAGTTTCCCAGCTTTATCCTTGCTGTAATTAGATTTTACTTGTGGTATGGACTTTTTAGTTTTCCTACTAGTTTAAGTTGCATCTTAAATTGTGATATATTTATAAGTCATCCCTGTCCCCATCTTCCAGTTTTTAGTGTTTTTTCCAAAACAAAACAAGTGTTTGAATGAAAAGAAGACTTTACAATAGATATTAAGTTGCAGTTTGCTTATATGCTAGTTCTAGGTATGAAGTTGCCATTAGTTAAGGTATTTTAAAGCAACAGAACATCTAAGAATTTCCGAGATATAAACAAGATATAGACATTGTTAAGTTCGGAGACTTGGGCCACATATGACACCAGGAACACTTTATTTTCTTACAAGATCGGACTTATCTGAGTTACACTAGAAACAAGAACTGAAATAAAAGAGAGTTTAATACTATTCACGCCGTTCAGCACAAAGCCTGGACATTATCTTCAGAAATAGCCGCATATTAATTTACAGTGTTTAAGTAACTGTCCTGTTAGAATCTTACAACACTTTGACAGAAACTGTATTGTTCTGGAATATTTGACTTACAATAGAATGTACTGTGAGCAGAAGCAATAGCATCAGATGTTTCTCTGCTGCCCATACAGGGCACGTTTGCAAGGACCTCACCAGTTGCTGGATTTTGCACCTACGGGAAATAAATGATGTTTAAGCTATCTACAAGTAATAGCAACAGAAAAATGACGCGATGGGAACACTGCGTTGACAACCTAGGGTCATAAAAGTCATGAATTCATGAAAATGAACTCGACACTTCACCCAAAACCCAGCTGCCAAACTGCTAAACACAATATTACAATAGCCAGCGCGCAAAACAACATAAACACTAATTGCTCTCGAATTAACTATCTCAGCACCGATCCACAATCATCGCAGAGTCGACGGTCAAGCCGCCACAGGAGAGGAGCCAACCAACCCATCGCATTCCAGATGATTTCCGACGGAACAGGAAGAGCACATGCCTGCGAAGCGGGATTAATCCGGGAAAGTGACGCGCACCTCGATGGTCTTCCCGTCGTAGGCGTCCACCCACTTCCCAGCGATGAGCCCCTGCGTCCTGAGCAGCCCCGCGGAGAGGATCTTCTCCATCGCGGCGCCCGCGTCCGCGCTCATCTGCACACCCAAAATATATCAAACCCGCAACCAACAAGCGAACGAAGGCACCGCACAGTGACGCAGCGACGGGAGGGCGAGGGGTGCGGTATGAAGCGGCGAAGAGGAAGATGGCGGGTTGATAAGGTGAGAGGGGGGAGCCGTACGTGGCGGAGGGGGACGACGCGGGAGGAAGCGGCGGCGGCGGCGGGGATGTGGCGGGCACCGAGTGCCACCGCGCGTCGCATAGTCATCATCGCCATCGCCATTTGAAACTGGAATCGGGACGGGTCACGCACGGGTGTGCGAGCGAGGAAAACGACGAGTGGCAATGGCGGACGCCGGAGGAAGGGCCCCACCTCCTCCGACTGACGAGTGACTTTTGGACTTTTTCGGTGCGCTGGCTAGGATGATGGAGCGCTTTGCCTTTTGTTTATGGAGCAGCCTGCTCTGCAGCAGGCTGTTGCGCTGCGCAGATTTGGAGTTTTCAATGAAAACACGTCACATCACTAGGAAACAGAACGGATTCAGGCCCGCTATGTTTTGCGATTCTCGGAAAAAGACCAAAAAGAAATCAGGCCGAAGGCCCCTAGATCAAGTTCGGGATGAGCGATGTCGAGCCCATCGACCATTGGACTGTTGGGCTGCAAAGTATGCCCATGTACCCTTTTTAGTACTGGTTTATTTTTTTCCTAAAAAAAGTACTGGTTTATTTACTCATGTACAACCCTATAGTTTGCTGGTTGAGCATTTTTAGCATCATTTCAAATGGATTCTAACTAGAAATGGTATTTGGTCTATGTGCAACTGAGTATAAAAAAATTGCTTGGCAATGGTTTACATTATGTCACCTGGTATATGGATATTAAAAGTGCCATCGGAAGTAAATGGTTTCCTACTATTTTCATACAAAAGATTCATTCTCGCTAAAGATATCTTGATTGATCGAAGTTGCAAGGACTAGGGGAGTAAGAAATATGTTTCTCTGGTAATGATGAGATAATTTGGCATCTCTTGTCAATTGCCATTGTGCTATATTTCTTTAGGGAAGTCACCTTTAGCTTAATTTGTCCCTTGTATGATATTTTGCAACATTTCGAATGACTTTAACCAAAAATGATATTTTTCGTGTGCGACCTAACAATAAGAATTTGCTTGATAATGATTTTTACATCGAGACATATTGTATCCATGGATACTAAAATGCTATTGATGGTTAAAAGTTTTCCTATGATTTTAGTACACACGATTCATCCTTACTAAAGATAATTTGATCAAGCAAAGATGCCAGGAGAGTAAGAAATTATGTTTCTACAATGTTGATGAGACAAGAATCAACATCTTTTAGTCAATTATCGCGGTTCTAGGTTCCTTTGGAGAATTGTGTATATAAGTTACTTTTGGTTTACATCCTCTTGATAACCCCACACATATGTTTGGTTCATGGCTACATTGACTACACTTTAAATCTAAACATCAAATCTTTATGCTTGCAGAAATGACCAAGTTTATATAAGAATGGATCAACATCTAGAGTGTCAAATTAGTTTCATTAAATCAAGCTTGAAATAAGTTTTTTTTAAACTAAACCAATAGGGGAGCTGCTTGTTATATTAAAAATAGGAAGGTCCGGACGGACAAAGTACAAAGAATAAACACCAAAGACTCCCTACACAGGAGTGATGGATAAGGTCAAAAACGATGTACAAGTGTAGCTAAGTGTTTTGCACCCGCCGAGATCCACAATTGTGCCTCATCTTTGATTTTCTGCAAGAGCGGATGATTCGGCATTCCGATATGCTCAAAGAACCTCGCATTTCTTTCCTTCCAAACTTTCTAGAGCTTGAAATATGAATTGATAATACATTTATGGGACAATTGGCCACAGGACATGCCAAATGAGCACCGACGGCTGGTGGACACCGCAAATGCGCCAATTTGCTGCTGGCCACTGTGTTTCCACTTTGAGTTGCCAGAAGACACCGCGCCCCGATTTGAGCCAAGAGAGGAGAGAGAAATATTCATTTTGGACATGTGGTGCCCTCGAGCCAAAACGGCAACCTGGTTTGGTTCGACCACATTTAACCGGCCCGACCCGGCAGTTAGGGTATCGACGCCCTCCCGCCTTCCCTCTCTTCCCCATCCCCTTCTCCAAGTCGGCGGCGGTGGCGATTTGGTTGATGGCGGCGGTGGCGCAGGCTTGGCGGGCGCGGGATTGTCAAGCGGGCCGATGGGGGCAAGCAGAGGCCTGAAGATGGCGACGGGCTCCGGCACTTCCTCCTCGACAGGTTCGCGCGGACCGAGTCGACAGCCGCCGATGGGTGGGCAGCCGATGTGCCCTTTCTGCCGGACGGCCACCATTGTGGAGCGGACCTCCAGAACCACAAACAACCCAGATAAGCAGTTCTACACTTGCAAGAATCAGGACTGGGTGAGTTTTTTGTACTTCATGTTGTTCATTTTCGTCAACGCCAACTCTAGATCTAGGGTTCATCCAAAATCTCTGCTTGAACAGGGCAACAACAAGTGCGCTTTCTTCATGTGGAAGCCGGTGAGTGATGGCGTCGATGCTGCATCATTGATGGTCGGAGTCCAGGCATTGGAGAAGTCTCTGTTGGCCCTGGGCAATTCTGTTGAAGCTCAGAGTCTCCATGTCAGTAGAATAGCTGGGCAGCAGAGAGTGGATAGGTGGTTGAATGTGGTCAGTGTGTTTGTAGGAGTTGTGTGCTTTGTTGTCTTGTGCAGTTGTCTTGTGCATCTTAATACAGAAGCAAGATTAACTTTGTAATGGCTTGAGAAATGAATGGAAGACAGTTATCTTGCAATCCCAAGTTTAATACAAGGAAACTGAGCCTCAGATGGCCATAATACAATACCAAGTGTCATAATACAATACCAGTCCAAGTGGAGCTTCCAAAAGGGTATGATATCTATCTTCTCTGCTTGTCGATCGATTTGTTTGCCTGCGGATGCGTTAGAAACGTGGTAGATTTAGATTAGAGTTGATTTTAGTTTCACTTTGTTTTGATTTAGCATGGATCCGAGCTCAGCGTGTAGATTGGCGATTAGAGTTCCTGCTTATGTAGAGCAAAGACTGGATGGGCTCGGTGACTATCATGTTACTCAGAGTTACATGCATGTGGTGGATAAGGATATTTTCAACTGGATGGGTTTTCGTCAGCTGCTCGGTGAGGAGATAGTTCATGGTCAGGATCAAGATCTCCATGTCTCCTTCTTTGACACAACCAAGAATGAGACAGTCCATATGAGGCTCCACTTGGACTGGTATTGTATTATGACACTTGGTATTGTATTATGGCCATCTGAGGCTCAGTTTCCTTGTATTAAACTTGGGATTGCAAGATAACTGTCTTCCATTCATTTCTCAAGCCATTACAAAGTTAATCTTGCTTTTGCATTAAGATGCACAAGACAACTGCACAAGACAACAAAGCACACAACTCCTACAAACACACTGGCCACATTCAACCACCTATCCACTCTCTGCTGCCCAGCTATTCTACTGACATGGAGACTCTGAGCTTCAACAGAATTGCCCAGGGCCAACAGAGACTTCTCCAATGCCTGGACTCCGGCCGCCAATGATGCAGCATCGACGTCATCACTCACCGGCTTCCACATGAAGAAAGCGCACTTGATGTTGCCCTGTTCAAGCAGAGATTTCGGATGAACCCTAGATCTGGAGTTGGCGTTGATGAAAATGAACAACATGAAGTACAAAAAACTCACCCAGTCCCGATTCTTGCAAGTGTAGAACTGCTTATCTGGGTTGTTTGTGGTTCTGGAGGTCCGCTCCACAATGGTGGCCATCCGGCAGAAAGGGCACAGCGGCTGCCCACCCGTCGGCGGCTGTCGACTCGGTCCGCGTGAACCTGTCGAGGAGGAAGCGCCGGAGCCCGTCGCCATCTTCAGGCCTCTGCTTGCCCCCACCGGCCCGCTTGATAATCCCGCGCCCGCCAAGCCTGCGCCACCACCGCCGTCAACCAAATCGCCACCGCCGCCGACTTGGAGAAGGGGATGGGGAAGAGAGGGAAGGCGGGAGGGCGTCGATACCCTAACTGCCGGGTCGGGCCGGTTAAATGTGGTCGAACCAAACCAGGTTGCCGTTTTGGCTCGAGGGCACCACATGTCCAAAATGAATATTTCTCTCTCCTCTCTTGGCTCAAACTGGGGCGCGGTGTCTTCTGGCAACTCAAAGTGGAAACACAGTGGCCAGCAGCAAATTGGCGCATTTGCAGTGTCCACCAGCCGTCGGTGCTCATTTGGCATGTCCTGTGGCCAATTGTCCCTTCTCATTTTAGTATTGATGACCAAGGTGTGGTGAGGTTCAAGAATAGATTGGTTGTTCCATCAAGTGAGGAGCTTAGAAGACAGATTTTGGATGAAGCTCATCATTTCAAGTTGTCCATCCATCCAGAAAGTAACAAGATATACCATAATTTGTGCCACTTGTATTGGTGGTCCAATATGAAGCAGGATATCACCAAGTATGTCGCGGAGTGCGATACTTGTGGTAGAGTTAAGGCAGACTATATGCGTACCTCGGGATTTTTGTAGCCCTTGCCTATCCCTATTTGGAAATGGGAAGATATTTCCATGGATTTCATTGTGGGTTTACTCTGCACGTCTAAGGGCTATAACTCTATTTGGGTCATTGTGGATCGCCTTACCAAATTCGCTCATTTTCTCCTAGTGGATACCAGATATTCAGCCAAGAAGTATGTCAGGTTGTACTTTGACCGGATTGTGACCCTGCATGGAGTTCCTCTTACTATCGTCTCTGATAGAGGGTCAGTCTTTGTCTCTCGCTTTTGGGAGCAACTCTAGTAGTGTCTTGGTACTAGTCTTCTAAAGTTCAGCTTATCATCCGCAAACTGATGGTCAGACAGAAAGGGTAAATCAGGTACTTGAGGATATGTTGAGAGCTTGTGCCATTTCTTTTCCTGAAAAGTGGGATGAATGCTTGAACTTAGTTGAGTTTTCTTACAACAATAGCTATCAGGAAAGCATTCATATGGCACCCTTTGAAGCTCTATATGGAATGAAATGTAGGACACCACTTAACTGGGTTGAAGTAGGTGACCATGTATATTTTGGGCCTGATTTTATCAAAGAAGCTTGAGAACAAGTCAGTATTATTCAGAGCCATTTGAAAGCAGCTCAAAGTCATTAAAAAACTTATGTGGACAAGCGAACAAGGCCCTTGCAATTTGAAGTTGGTGATCATGTGTATCTCAAGGTATCTCCCAAGAGAGGTGTACATCGATTTGGTGTATGTGGGAAGTTAGCCCCTTGTTATGTTGGACCCTACAAGATTTTGGCCCAGTGTGGTTCTGCTGCTTACCGTATCTAGCTCCCGGATATTTTGTCAGCAGTACATAATGTCTTCCATGTTTCCCTGTTAAAGAAATGCTTGTGGGTTCTCGATGAAGTGGTGGTAATTGAAGGACTTCCCCTCCAGCACGACTTGTCTTATATTGAGCACCATGTCAAGATCTTGGACGAAAAAGAAAGAGTGACTAGAAACAGTGTGGTGAAGTTTTACAAAATTCAATGGCAAAATCACTCGGAGAACGAAGCTACGTGGGAGCAAGAAAGCTATATCGTGAAGCATTATCCCCACTTTCTTTCTTGTTCACCAAGGTAATTGTTTAAATTGAAATGTAGTTTTTATCTCTTTTCCCACAATAGACACATGAAATCTCGAGATGAGATTTTGTTTATGGGGGTAGATTTGTAACACCCTCAGTGTTACACTGTAAATCATTCACTAAAACATGTCATGCGCATCATGTTTATGTGTGAGTGCATGTAATAAAGAGTGTAGATGAATTTTCGAAACTCAAAACGATCAACTAAAGTGCGAAACGAAAGTTAATTTAATAGTCATGTTGTATCACTTAGGGTTTAAAACCAATTTTTATTAAGCAAAAATGCTATAGAACATGTATGTGATACTTGAATAAAGTTTAAAGTATAAACTTTGTTGTTGATGATGAAATACCTGCGGTCAAAAAATGATAACACTAGCTAACATTTCTAATAGCATGGAAATAGAATTTGAAGCGAATCCAACACAAGACTTGGTTAGTTTTTTAGGTCTGAAAATAGATTGACAAAGCTAGGTTTGGTAATTTTTGTTGAGAAATTAGGTTAAGGAGTGGTGTGGTATTATAGTTTGTTAGTAGCTTATTATATCCTTTAAGGCATAGTAAAGGTGGGTTGGGGATTGGATCAATGGTTGAGATTTTTCAAACGCTTTAAAAACCGTGCACAACACGTTCACGGTCTATTTCATCGCGTGGGCGCGGTCACTGCATCTCTGGGACGCGACATCATCGCCTCGGGCGCCCCGTGTGTGCACTCTACCATGCTCGGTCGGCCACCGTGGGCGGGTCGGACTGGCCGCACGCTGCTGCTGCCGCGCGGGCCTAGTGCCCTGGCCGCCGTGCCGCCCTAGCGCATGGGCGTCCCTTTCTACTATCGTCGCTGCTGCTCGGCTACTGCTGTGTAGGTCCGGTGCCCTGGCCGCCGTGCCGCCCTAAGGCGCGGGTATCCCATCCGGCGGTCGCGCTGCTGCTGCTGCCGTCACGTCTTCTCACACAGCGCACTGCGTCTCCGGCCGTGTTGATGCCGCCGCACATGGCTGTGCACGCCATTGCCATGCCATTGATGGTGTTGCGGCACGCGGGCCACGTTGGTTGCATGTGTGCTTGTCTGTTGACTAGTGTTTGGCTGCGGGCTACGCTGGTCACGCCAACCGCGTCCAGCCAAGCACGCTCGGGCTAAGTCTGGACCGAGCCCCTCCCCACCTTCCGTCCACCCGCATTCCCCTGTCTTTTCCCCTACCGTCGCTGCTGCACCGTGATAATGCCTAGATGCGAGAGGCACCTCTCATTAATTCCACACGTCTGCACCTGCGCTCTCTTGTCCTCTCACCGCCTGAGCCACCCACAGCCTTAATGACGGCCGACGAGCAGTTAAGGCCACGCTTGGCCGTGGGCGCGAACAGCTCGCTCGCCACTCGCCCACTGTCTAATTCATTGTACCACTACTTTCACCTAGCTCTTCCCTTCGCCCCTCGCACCTCAGCCCAGTCACTACCGGCTTGCCTTCGTCGCTGACGCGATCGTGTCACCGCAGTGCGCCGCCACCAAGCTTGGCCACACGTGGCCGGCTTCCCTCAGCTTCCCTTTGCCCCAACCATCACTTCAGGCAGACTCACAGTGCGTCACTGGTGCTTAGCCACCACCTCTACCGGCCTATTAGTGCTATAGCTCACCGAGGTGGCTACGCCACCGTCGTGGGCGGTTGTGCGCGGTGGCAGCTCGCTCCGGTTCACCCCGTGGCTTCGTATCGCCGTGTTGGGTTAGCGTTAGGATCGTAGGTGGTTTCAACTCATTGGTGGGGTTGGCGCGGGTCTCGGGTGGCTGGTGCACCGCCTTGTGTCACTTCCGCACTGACATGCGCAGGGACGGCCAAGGACCTGGCCATGTAAAGATGAGTTGTTGCAAGGGCTATTTTGCTTAAGTGCCGACTATAGGAATAGGCTACATAGTAGTCGCATGAATAGCAGATGGAGTGGGGGAGTTTTTGCAAAAGTACTAGCACACGCGGGCCACCTTCGCGCGTGGGCCTCGCCTCGCCTGTGGGCCGCCGCACGTGCGCGCGCGCGGGCTCCTCCGCTACGGGCCGCCTGCGCGCATGTGTGGGCCGCGCCGCTCGTTAGTGGGCCATGCGGTTTGAATTCATTTTTCATTTTTTGAGAAAATAGAAATAGTGTTATATTTTACATTCTAAGTTGAACTTTGGAAATTAATAGCAATTCATATAAGTATCCAAAAATTGTGAAATAAATTCTGTTGAGTTTCTAAAAATGTTGTCTATCTGATAGTGTGGTTAGTATATACATGACTGTTGATGCTACGGTCTATTAAATCATTTGAAAGTGTTTAATGTTATTTAGATTAATAATTGTAGGAATTTTGTAGCAATTTTGTAATAGCTTTGGCCATGAAATTTTTATAGTAGGTTCATTAGATTATTATGTGTTCACTGTAATTTTTGTGGCCTTAGAATAGATTGAGAAATATGGTAGCTAAGTACTCCTTATTTTAGCATATATATTAAGTCGGTAATGAAGATAAGGATGCCTTTAGTTGCTAAGATAATGCTCGAAAGGTTTCATACCTGTTGAGTGGGAATAATAGGTAACTTAGCGTCTTAATCATTAGAGTTAGCTTAGTAGCCTGGTAGATGTATTCTTATTTTAAGAGTTGTTGTTGCCGTATTACTAAGTGTGCATCATCATTTTCATGCATGTAGATAACGAATTGGTAGAGTTCATGACCGCGGGTGAGCCGGAGTATTAGGAGATAATCCAGGAGTACGAGGAAGAGATCCTCGTCTAGGTGGGAGCCTCGGAGCCACCAGTTATTGACTTTGTTGACACCACGCCTGCCCCAGGCAAGCCTCGGTGCATAACCCTTATTTTGAATGATCACTGGATATATATATATATATATATATATATATATATATATATATATATATATGTGTGTGTGTGTGTGTGTGTGTGTGTGTGTGTGATGTGCATTTACGTTATTGGAATTTTATGGAAACTGCATGCATAGATAACCTACCTATGAGTCCTACTAGTATAGGTCGAGTAGTTGCTATGCTTAGGATTTTCGGTAGCGTGAGTAACCTGTCGTTACTCATAGTAGGTGATTATTATTACTGCTCTCATGATAAAAGGGTGAAAGGAAATGAAGACCGGGCAGGGATATGGTATGGGTATTGGTGGGTGTAAGAGGTTGTGTCCTGCGGCCAACAGGGCATAGCTTGGTTACACTATTTTCCCTGTTCATGTCAGTTAAGGACCGGTCGTTGCATTGTGTCGGTGTTTCGGACCGGGGGTCCTCTACCAACTAGTTAATTTGAACTGCGTGCCCCTAATCCCGGATGATGATGCAAAGAGACACAAGGTTTATACTGGTTTAGGCAATCGATGCCCTACGTCCAGTCTGAGAGATCGATCTTGTATTCCTTGCACCGAAGTGCTAGTAGTAGGGGGTTACAAGCACAGGGAGAGAGGGAGCTAATCCTAGGTCTCGGCGAGGTGTCGTGTAGGCTGCTTGAGACGTTGCTCTCAGGTGGCTGGGATGTGTATGTGTGTGAGCTACCAAGTGTTCTTCCTATTTCTCTCTTTTCGTCCCCCTGAGCTATCCCTGGCTGCTTCCTTTTATAACCGCAAGGAGGGAGCCAGG